CATGAAGATGCCAACTATGCAGTTGTATTCTAGAAAATGCTGACTCCAGCCAGACTTTAGTTCCTCTTAAGGCAAAGAAATAAAATCCAAATTCTAGCACCATGTTGTCCTGTCTTCCAGGGGGATATGCATTATTTCTGTGAAGCCTAAACTTCCCTCTCCCCAATTTCCATTAAGGGAGACTTCAATCAGTAGAGCTTTTAGTACAAATCTAGCCTTTCTGACAATGCCTTTGAGCTTTTCTAGGTCTCAGATCCACCACAGAAAGCATGTTGTATTAGTCAGCTTTCCCACAGCTAAAGCAAAATACAAGCCAGACACCTGTAAATTAAAGAAGGAGAGGTTTAACTTGGCTCAGTTTCAGGAGATTCAAGCCACAGTCAGCTGAGTCCAAGACAGCAACATCATAACAGAAGGGCATGAAAGAGCAAACCTGCTTAATTCTTGGCAGCTGGGAAACTGAGCAGAAGAACAGTGCCAGAGGAAAGGCCAGGGCTCAAATACAGTACCCAAGGTCACACTTTAGTGACCTATCCAGGCACACCCAGTAGTGTACTAATTCCCCAGGCAGCTTCCAAGCCAAATTGACAATTAAGTTTATTCATCACACATGGGGAAACACTCTTTTAGGTGAGAAATATTTGCATCTTATGGTTCTCCCTGACCATATATGTCCTGCCAAAAAGGTGAACTCATACATGTCCCCCCCACCCTGAAGCTCATAGAAACTTATGATGAATTAGGGTTCCAGGAATTTCGCCCAAGCTTGCAAGAAATGAGGTTCTATTGTTTACATGTGGATCATGGAAGATTTTCATGTTTTCTTAGAAGAAGGAAATTATTGGCTCTCAGGATAACTGTGTTGTTTTCTTTTAGGGCTTGTCTTTACACAACAGAAATAGAGAAACCAAACTAATTCTAGTTCCTCCTGTTCCCTTCTTTTAAATTTTTGAGTGATTTCCAGTCCATTGGCTTCCATTTAAGAGTAATCCACTTACCACTGCATTTAAAACAATTAAGCAAGCCTGGAAAGAAGACTAACATGGGGGTGGGTGGGTGATGGGGTTGGGAGTGAGGGAAAATTCTATTTTATGCACCTCTCCACATGCAGTGACTCTGACATCACTTAACAAGCTGAGCCCTGGGATCTGTTTAGAGTCCAATGCCATGAAAGAGTGTCTCCCAAACTCCCCGGCTATTTTGAAAACTGTGTCACACCGACACTATCTTGAGCAAATAAGTGCCATGTGCAAAATATAACAAACATTACAACTGAAATACAAGCATTTTGTAAACTTTAAATCATACAAAACAATGAAGGGAAATCTATTATCGAGCTATAATAAGAACAAATCCATTTCACATATACAAGTGAGCTTGATTTTAGAGATGTTTGGGAAAAGGAAGAAAAAAGTGAATAAAGATGAGGCAGAAATAATTTCTCCTGTCTGATACTATAAAATTGTCAACATCAAGTCCTATTCCTTCTGTATTTCTGACTTACTACCATCTCAGATGTGTAGAGCAATTCACATTTAGTTAATGCTTTAGGAACTGAAGAGTTGAAACCACCTTGGTGGCTGGGGACACCAGAAGTCCCTGTTTGACTTGGAATGATCAACTACACAATCAGTTCACAATTTCCCTCGCCTTTCCACCCCTGCAGGTGGAAGAAGTATGCAGTTCCTCCCACCCCAGGGACTTTCGGATTGGCTATAGAACTGGTGGACCAGAGATACATGGGCAGACACAACAGTGTGTCAGTTCCAAGCAGAGCCTTTCTGTTTGCCCCTCTGTGGTTCTGCTTCCCCCATGAGAATGACATGCCACCCAGGAGCCAGAAGGAGTTGATAGGGAGTCTGGCCTCTGGAAGGAGATCAGGGATGCAGACCACACTCCATCCTAGCCTGGCAACATGGCCAGCAGGGACCTAACAGAACCATAGCAGAAAAGCCGTCACTGAGAAATAAATTGGTCATTATAAGTCACTGCATTTTCTTCTGGAATACTACCACAGCAGAAACTGGTATGTAGAATTTGTCTTGAAAGCAAGTTTGCCAGAGAGCTGAAGTTCTCCAATCTGTTATGGCCTAGCTTTGAAATGTCCCCCAAAGACTTATGTGTTGAAGGCTGGTGCCAATGTTCAGAAGTGAGGAGTCTGAGACATATTTGACTCATAAAGGCTCTGACTTCATCAATGGAGTAATCTATTGATAGGTTCATAATTTGATGGTCTTTTAGGAGGTGATGAAAACTTGGGGGTGGGCTTAACTGAAGGGAGTAGATCCTGGGACCATGCTCTTGAGGACTATATTTTATCTCAAACTCCTTTCTCTTGCATGCTCTCTCTGCCATGAGCAGCTTTGTTCTACCAGTCCCCCTTTGCCATAATGTTCTGCCTCACTACCAGCCCAGAAACAATGAAACCTACCAACCCTGGAGTGAAACCACTGAAACTATAAGCCCAAATAAACCTTTCCTCCTTTAAATTGATATTCTCAGGTATTTCATCACAGTGTTGGAAAGCTGACTAACACACAGTCCTGAGCAAATTTGGTCATAAAAAAATAAAATGTTCTTTTTGGCAGATGACAGGACATCTAAAGAAGAAATTTGACCTTACTACTGAGTTGGAATGAAAACAAACCCCAGACCAAATTCCCCGACACATATGTAAACATTTATTAAATAAACATGTATTAGGAAACAAGTATAAAACTGGTCCTTATTACCTGTTGCACAAGCTCAGGGAAATTCTGAATCTCTGTTCTTGCAGTGCCCCACCTATCACATTTCATGAAAGGTTTACTGGAGGCAGACATCAAACTGCCCAGAGACAGGATTTGGTTCTCCTTTATTTGGCATCAGACAATGAAAACTCTTTGTTACAAGGTCTGTGCAAAGGACTCAGGAGTTAAGATTCAGGTGCCATCCCTCTAGGGGAAAGACACAGACCTTGTCAGATTCTAAAACTCTGTTCATACAATAATGATGAATATTTCTAAAATATGTGTAACTAATTCCTATATGCCAAAGACCCAATACCTTGAACTTCACTGCTGAGATCATTTCTAACATTCATCAAGATAACTAGAAAGTCAGCAATTTCACAAAAAATATTTGATATTTGAAGACTTTTAGGTACTATTAAACTTGTTAGCAAATACATAAAACCATGCTGCTTTAAACTATTTTGAAGTGAATTTCAGGCATCATAACATGAAGACTATTCTCCTCAAGCCCATTAAGAAATTGAGTCTTCTATATGTAGGATGGGTCTTCCCTGCTTACAGTAGATTGACTTTGTAAACCACCCCAGGACTCAAAATTCCAGTCAGGATCACCACAAAAAGCATGGAATAAAAAGAACTACGGGAATCTAGCTCTGAAGATCCAAGGAAGATTAGCAAGAACTCATGGCCCCAAATACCAAGCAAGGAGTCAGATTTCATGGACTTGGTACTACAGGCCCTAGGGGAATGACACTGTGATGTCTGCCTCAGGATGCACCCACGCCCCTCCTGCTGGATGGCCAGCACAGGTTCTGGAGCAACTTGTTATGCCTGTAATGACCTAGAAGGCTGTTACAAACACATATGGGGATAACAGTAACTGCAAGTGCTCAAGCACTTTATCAGTCTTGTAGAGATCATTTCCACTCTCACATTGTTAAGGGACCTTCCTAGCCAGCCAGTACAGTAGACACCAGAGATACAAGTTTGGACAAGTTATAGACCTTATTATGGAGAAGCTTATGGAGCTAGCCAGAGTTCTTGATTTGGGGCACATGGCTAGTTTCAGAGGTCTATGAATGCCCTGAAAATAATGCCTTGAATGCCTCATCACCATGCATCTGCATGTATATACATTGTTTTAGAAAAGTGTATGTATTATACATCAGATTTGTAAAGTAGCCCATGATTCAGAGTGAAGACATGAGATGACCCTATAGTAAGTGCATTTACTCAGACTTCACTATGGAAGATCAAACTATAATGCAGTTATTATCAAATGACCAAAAAAAGACTTTACACATAACTGGAATTGTTAAAAGCTTATTTTATAAAAGTTCTCATAATAGAACTAATGACTAATAAAAATGGTACTAGAGTTAATATAATGAAGGAAACTCCATGCCATAATTTTTTTGTGTGTGTGCAGGGGACTGAACTCAGGACCTTGCACTTGTGAGGAAGGTGGCAGAACCACTGAGCTAAATCTCTGGCCCCATGCCATACATTTTACAATTATTCACAGACCCAACAAAGCAAAGGCTCAAGGTTGCTTAGCTATGTGAGGATGTTCACAGGATAATAGTAACAATACTTAAGTCTCATTTTAATTGCCATTCAGCTCTTCATGTCAAGCATGAAGTAGAATGAGAAGAATTTACAGCCATGATTAACTATCCACTGCTTCTTGTTGGGTCTATTACCTAAAATATTCATCATATTTAAGATAACCAATACACACGTAACAGGAACATTAACCAACTCATCCACCCCCAATTATTCAAGTCTGTTCAGTAGAGTATAGCTGATGCCAATAAAATTCATGACCCAAGAATTATGTTCTATTCATTGTGTGTTTTTCATAACACCTGCCCCATCCCCACATATCGCAGTTTAAGAAGCACAACTTTAATCACTCTGAAGTTCTAGTTTCTTCACAAATTAAATGGAATAACAACACCTTAATCAAAAGGTTCTTGGGAGCATTAAAATTGTCATTTATTGGATAAATCATATAACATAATCACTCTGCCTAATACCTAGCAGGTACTCAATAAATGTTAAATCTACCCCCACCCCAATGTTCCATCGAGTTTATGCCTCTCAAAGTGTGGTCCCCAGAACAGCAGCCACAGCAGCAGCATTAGGAATTGCTAGAAATGAAAATTCTTGGTGAGTCATGTGGAACACGCTGAATCAGCCTGCGCCCTGGCAACAATCCACTGGACAATCCCACCCCGGCACCCCCCCCCATTCCTCTGTACAGCCACCTGGTTCCACACTACAAAGACGCAGAGGACACTGGACCACCAGACCACGGTACTGAGTCCTGCCGCTCCCAGCCCAGAGGTAGGGGCTTCTGAGTCACCAGCCCACTGATTCTGGTCCAGAGGAAGGGGCATCCTGGCCACCATTCTTCCCACTGCTCCCAGACCAGAGGAAAGGGCTTTTGGGACACCATCCCTACCCCTGCTCACAGCCCCTGTCCCACCTCTCCCAGCTCAGAGGAGGTAATCCATGCAGGTGCCAACAGCACTGCCCCAGTCGAAATGAGAAAACACTTAAATAAGTCTCTAAACCAGACTTCCAGATCACCTACAGCAACCCCAAAGGGAAATGAGATGGAACACTCTGATACTCAACCACCTGGACCCACTGAACTGGCAACAAAAGGGGATCTGGAAAAAATGAAATCAGAAATAATTTCTCAGATAACAGGAGAAATTGTGCCCCTAGTGCAAGA